ATAGCTAAACAGTAACAATATATTTTTCAGGTTGCATCTAGATGCTATCCAAACAGTAACAATATATTTGTAGATAATATATTACATCGGTAATATATTACACGTGTAATATATTTCAAAGGCAAAATATTTTTAGGTACTTAGTATCACACTAATCCCTCACGCCCGTTGAACTGAAATTAGAGACACCAATCTTAATAACCTCATAAGAGTGATATGATCTCAAACCATAATCCCTCCTTGAATAGCACTATCAACCTCACATAGGAAACTGAGAAACCAAGTGCAGATACAAATCACTCGTACCAATTCTATCAGAAATTATATATTTCTTGTTCACTGCAACCCTAGAAACAAGCTAAACCAAATTTCGCAGAGAGCATTTGGTCATATCAAAACTAAACACCTTCCACTGAATCTAATGCCTAGATGACCAAACAAAATTTCTCATTCCACTAGCATGGACGATGTCCACATGCAGCTTGTTACTAACTGTGGGGCGTGTTTGTTTCATGGAAGAGGGGGTTGCCAAAGACCCTTCTTTGGCATCTTGGAAGCTGCCGCTTCCATGGGTAACCATGGAAGCAGCAGCGTCTACAAAACATCAGATTGACATTCACACTTCCCTCAAGCAAACGTTGCAAGAGTGCTGGAATTTTGGAAGACATGAGTTCCATTACATGCCCTGGGCTTCAGAACTCTTTTAAAATTGGGTGTGGTTTGCATAAGGTTGTGACCTTAAACAATCACATTAAGGTGCACCTCCAAATTTTATCTTAAGATGTAATTTTGGTGTTAATATTTAGGATGGCCTAAGAATCTATTTTCATAACATTATAAATTTTAAACTTAAAAAATTAGTTAAAATCAAATAGATCTATAAATACAATAAAATCTTGAAAATGGATGGTCTAGATAATTTGTTGCATGATGCCCTATTTTGGCATTCAAAATCTCTTCTTTTTTTTTTTTTTCTGTATTGATACATCTCGATATCAACATTATCTTTTTAGATGATTTTCCAACATCAATACAACCTTTGTTTATGGATTTTTGAGGTGCACCTTGATTGTACATTTTAAGATTGCAACCTCGTGTAAATTTTTCTTTTTAAAATTTGTTTCTCTATTGCAAAGATTCAGATTTTTAAAATGTAAAGTACATAATAAGACTATTAACCATTAATCATTAGGGGTATTGCTATTAGCTGCTCTCAAAGCTCGGGAAAGTTTCACAAGAGCATGTATACTCTGCTCCTGTGGGAGCATAATGTACTAGTCCCTCAATTAGGACTTTATTCAGTCTTGAAATTTTTGGAAACAACTTGGAATCACTAGATTGTTGTCAAAAGAACAAATTTCAATTTTGAGTTTTTTTGGCATAAATCACGTCTGTACAAAATTGGATGGTCTCCATTCAATCTCAAGTTATTATTATTATTATTAATATTTTACTGGGATGAGTCTTTGGGTTGAGAAGGTTACATCCACAAAATTTAGGGTCCAAAAATTATTCGTATAATGTATTTTACCCAAGGGATTAAATGGACAATATACTCCTTATTAATGCATAGAATCTTTGGGTATTTCTCAAACTTTGTGGAAAATGAAACACCCCCCCAGCCTTCTCGTACTAAAGGTCAAAAATAATTCCAGTGCCTTGTAGAAAACGTTCACATTATGTGCATGTGGCACAAGGCATAACGGGCAAATATTATATAAATCTGTGCATATACAGCTGCAACCAAAATCTTCTCAGAGAAACTGATCCTGGTCCCATAAAGCACACAACTTCATGCACTTAAAATATTCTCTAAAATTTTAGATGATGCTCAAAATCTTCACAAGAAAGTGAATGGATGCACTAAATTCGGCCTTCAGAGAAGCTTTAACCAAATATGAATATCAAAATTGCATTTGCAAAAAAGGGTGCATCACGAACACAATCCTTTCCTGGCTTTCTATTTGTCAGATGTATTCTGAATACAAATTTTATGAAATGGAATTCTGAATACAATTTAGGTTAGCAAATTACATAAAACATCTGTAACAAAACCAACTATAGCAATCTCATTAATAAAACTAGAGGAGTGCTGGTGCGCTGCATAACCGTGTGAACCACCGATGCATATGGCAAGCCTCTTTGACATGAAGTGGATGAACAGTGAAATTCTAGCTTCACTGTATATCATAGATGATCTGTAATGACTTTGGAAGGCATTCCTGCTGAGATTATCCATTTAAACCTTTATGGCCTGGGAACTTCTTACTGTAAGAATGCAATGAAGAATTTACAGATGTTTGCAGACTACAAAATACTGTAGTAGTAGTGCCCCTTCATGTACTTCTCCATGACAAAATAAAACATGGCAGGGGGGGAATTTATACAAAAGAATATACAGGTTGGTACAAGTTGCAGGTATCATACAAATACAACATCAACGATGCATACCGGTAGGAAAAGAAAAATGAAAAGAAGGAACATCATTGCCATTAGCCTGCTAAAGCAGAAACAAATTCGTTAGGTATATACGCTACCAGTATGCCACTGATCGCCTCTCTCCCTAATCTTTCACAGCAATACCAGCATCTTCCAAGAGTTTATCTGTCAAGGCTGAAAGATGAGCAATGGCTTCTTTTGTTTTCAAAAAAGATTCAGTTGCATCCAAGCTTTCGTTCAAGGATGGCTCATATGAAGTTTCCGGATCTTCTTCATCAAGGATCTCCATTTTTGACTGGGCCATAGTTATATAATCAGGAGAATCAAACTTCAAATGAGTCTCCGTCCCTTTAAGAAGCGTTTGGCTCATATTTGCAAGGTTGCGGAGTGCACTAGTAGCAACTTCAACCTCGAGCTGAGCAGCCTCAAGCTGAAGCTTCTCCATAGTCAACTCCTCAATACTCCTATTCCCTATTCCGTCATCTGCAATGGCTTGTGGTTTTTGTAAACCATTAACCTCTTCCTGAACGTTTTCCTGTAACTTTTCTAATTCCTTCTCTCTCGTATCCCATTCGTTAAGAATTGCTTGGAGCTCCTCTTCTTTGACAGATAGAGCTCTTTGGGCACTCAGATATTCTGACTCTGTGTGTCTAAGACGCGCTTTAGTCATTTCAAGTTCAATCTCAGTTTCTTTATGTCTATCTCGCATTTGCTCTAGTTCAGAACCCTCCACACCTGATAGTAAGGATCCATGGCTTTCCAAGTTCCAAGTTTCTTCCCTAGCTGTATTGACCAGTATATTAGTGAGCTGCATGATACGCCCCACCACTGCTGCAGCTTCCAAATACTTCAACTTTGTGTCGTCGATCTCAAGTCTCATCATCTCAACAAGTTGGTCTTTCTCCTGCAGCCCCAGAGTTGCTTGTATAAGTTGTTCTTCCTTCTCTCTCATCAGCTTCTTCAAATCCCTGACCTCCTTATCCAAATCCTCTAAGTTCTTATTTGCAAGACTAAGCTCAACATCTTTTTCCTTCAGTAGAAGCTGAATGGATTCATGATCAGATTTCAAAAGCTGGATCTCAGATCTGGCAGATACTAATTCAGATTCCTTAACTTTGAGAAGTTTTAGGGTATTGTCAAGATCAGATATTTTCTGTTCTAGAAGTGCCGTAAGTGAACCAACATCCTTGGTTGTCTTCTCCAGTGATAGCTTCTCCCTGTTCAACTCATTTTGTAATTTCTCTATCATTGCTTGCTCCTTTGATATCTTTTGCTCAAGTTCCTGGTTTCGAGCCTCAGCATATCTCAGCTTCTTTCTCTCACTCTCAACTTCTAACTGGGCTTCTTTTAAATTGGTCATGTATGACGTTAGCAGAGATTTTTCTTCATTGAGATCTTCCAGTTGTTTCTTAAGTTCAACGCCTTGGTCATCCAGCCTCCTGCCAGAAGATGCAAGAGACTTTTGGGAAGCAATCAGCTCAGTCTTCACATCAGCAAGAAGCACTCTCACCCTCTTCAACTCTTGTGCAGTCCCCTTAGCTTCAGCCTTGTATTTTGAAGCTTCCTCTGCTATTTTTTTCAGTTCTTCCTGAGAAGACAGCCATTCTACAGCTCTCTGTTCCAAATTAGCCTTTGCATTTTTCAGCTTCTCCTCATCATTTTTTCGTTGCTGAATGGTGTCAGCCAACTCTTCTTCCTTTGACATGATCGCTTCTTTGAGATCTTGAACCTCAGCTTCTTGCTTCCTAATAACTTTATTGGTTTGTTCAAGAATTTGGTCTCTCGATTTGAGGTCTAAATTGATCCTTTCTACCTCCTCTGTTTTCTCTACTAACTCGTTTCTTAGTATATCTAGTCCGGCTTCCTTCAAAGAAAGAGCTGATCGAGCATTTTGCATCTCCCTATCCTTCTCTTTTACTAAATGCTTTAGCTCTTCAATCTGCTTTTCTTGAGAAGCAAAATCCTCTTGTGCCTTCTTTAGGTCTTCTTCCAATTTAGCTTGTTTAGCATGGGCAGCTATGATTTCTTCCTCTCGATGATCCAGGTCTTGTTTGACATCAGTTAACTTAGCACGATCCATCAACACCATCTTCTCTGCATATTGAAGATCTTCTTCCTTCTTCTTCAAGGCTGCCAAGGCAGCTTGAAGATCTGATTCAAGGACTTCAAGATTTATATCAAGTTTGATGTCCTTCAAAGATCTCCGCCGTTTACCCATTTGTTCCTCCAGTTTCTGTGTCTGAGCAAACAATCTCTCAAGTAGAACCCTGGCAGACTCAGAGGGCTCATGCCCATTGCTCCCAATGTTTGATGTTGGCTTATCAACAACTGATCTGATCAATGGCAGGCAATGTCTTTTCTTGACATAATGCACTATGGAAGTATTCACAATTTTTTCTTTAGAATAGAGTCGCACAGCACAATGCTGCAGATAAAAAAATATGAATGTAAAAAAGTATCCTAATTATAATCATAACATTATACAAGTAAATTTAAAAATTCAACAAACCTAGTAGCAGATTGATATCAACATTCTACTAGGCCCTTATTGATGTTCTAAAACTGAATGATCATGATAGATCTGCAATCTACAACCATTCATAACTCACATACAGAAATCAACTCTCTAAAGCTTTTAGACAAAAATAAAAAATGAGTGAACTCTTATTCTTTTTGGCTGATGAAAATGACTGAACTCATTCATCACTACTGATAAGAATAGGAAGGAGTAATGCTAGGAAATGAATAACAATCCAATATTAAACATGACAGTTACTATTGTTGGTGTTTGTGCATAGCCTCGAAATCCTTACCCATACATATATGTACACATGGTGAAACTAATTGGAATAATGGGCAATTGGGCATCACCTACATATGGGGTGCAATGAGGGAGATCTAATCCATCTTGTATAGTCCATATAAGATGGGAGCAAGATCGACAAGCCAAAACACCGGATCCACCTGTGAAACCCCACAAGATGGACCGGTGGACTTCGTTAGAAGGTTCATGGACGTTTGTGTTTCTTCATTCTTTTTAAGAGAAGAATGAAGCGACCATGAAAATGAGAAGCCCTTCCACTGTGGGATCCCAGTTTGGCTATGATCCTGTGTTGGGGGAGTACACCACAATAGTATGGGGGTCGATTAAAAAGTCAACACAATCATATTCTTTATATTTTTAAAGGAATACAAGCAATTCATGCATGTCAAACAAAAAAAAGCAATAAATTCACGTCCATCAAATAAAGGAAAAGGCAATAAATGCATATTAATAAAAAAGAAAGCACAAATTATTCAAATCCATGTACCATAAATTTCTCAAACGGAAAGATTCTTAAATCTATATCAATCAAAAAGAGAGTTTTAAATACAATACGCCCACAATCGAATCTGTTGTATGGAATGGTGGTTCCAACTTATGTCACAAATGGATATGAGATTTTGACACGTTATCTTTTTAAAAACATCTACGAGGAAGGGAAGATCTCGCTCTTTATATTTATATAGTTATTTGCTCTCTCTACCTCATGCTTTAGTTTTCCCCCACCAATGCCCACCCCCCTAATTGAAATGAATGGGGAGATATGAAGAAAAGGGTATATGGTTTGTATATGATTTGACCGAAATAATCTCCTTTCTTATCATATCATCATCATCATCAGAGCCTTTTTCCAACTACTTGGTGTTGGCTACACGAATCCTGATCCGCCATTCTGCTCTATCAAGGGCCATACCTTTAATGAAGCTATGAGTCCCCCATATTTTTTGTCACTACTTCCAATTATGTCCTTTTGGGCCTACCACTTGCTATTCTTTAGCCTCCCACTTGAACCAACTCGCACCTGCTAACAGGTACTGTATTGGATCTATGTTGTACATGGCCAGCCAGCCTAAGTCTACTATCTCTCATCTTATCACCTATTGGAGCCACGCCTAAGTTCTCCTAAATGTATTTATTTCGAATTATATCCCTTCTTGTCTTGCCATTCACCTAATCTCAACATCCTCATCTCAGCTACACTTATCCTATGGGTATGTTGTTTCTTGTTCGCCAAATATTCTGCCCTATAAAGCAAAGCTGGTCTCACAGCTGTCCTAAAAGCAAAGCTAAACCTATCATATGCAATGTAAAAATCAAATAAATATCTTTACTATATTATTGTGAAGGCCTTATCTAGGAGAAGACTCAAGAATAAATGTACAGTAATACTCAGTTTTCATTTAAGTAAATACACTTATAACAAATCGATCTCCAATACACTCTAGTCCACCTCTTTTTCATCTAGAGCCACCAGAATATTGGAATTAATCAAGAAGAACGATGCCCCTCTCCATCCAATGCTAGAGTTCTAACAAATATTTCATATTTGCTTCCTAGAAAAAATATCTGCCCATTGTATAAAATCCAGGTTCATCCACTGTTTTTTTTAGAAAGTTAACTTTGAATAAGAGATAAAAGAGTAAAGCAAAACATCGAGAATGGGCTATCCACAGGGTGGATAGTTCAAGATACAAAATGCTCTTTTGAAAAGGGAGGTGAGAGAGTAGAATAAAAGAGCCTTCTTTTAAAGGTTACTATGACATAGAGGCTAAGCAACCGGCAAAAAGAAACCGATCCCAAAAAGTCGATCCTATAATCCATCAAGGGCCACTGCTTCCTTAGCTAGAGCGTCTGCTGCCTGGTTTGACTCCCTCAAGATATACCTCCATAAGAAGCGTGTATCCCTGCAAAGGTGGTTAATGTCGTAAACAATATGCGCTAGAACCCAAAGAGAGGGGGGGGGGGGTATTTGTAGCCCATGCTATAACATTCTTGGAATCTCCCTCTATGATAACAGACTCTATCCTATGAAGACGAATAAGAAGAATAAGCTTAAGTCCCTGAAGTAGCGCAGTGGCCTCGGCCTCCATTGAATCAGTATGACGGATGTTCTTAGATATAGAAGTGATAGTTGAGCCCAAATAGTCCCTGAAGATGGCATCAATACTGGTAGAGGCCCGGTTTTACCCAAAGAGCAACCATCGAAGTTAAGCTTAAATTGGCCCTGGTTAGGTGGTCTCCAATTTGATGCCTGAGGTAGACACTTTCTACAATGTTGTGGGGTAGCAGTCCAGTCCCGGTAAAAGGCTGAAGGACCCCTTTAAAACTTTTGTGATTGGTTGCCCAAAACACTACCAATGATTTAAGCTTAACAAAAGTATTGTACGAGGAGTACTCTCCTCGAAAATTACTCTTGTTTCGCTCTATCCAAATAGCCCAGAAAGAGGCAGCCACCGCGGATTTCCACAACAAAATGCCTGCTTTAGGCCAAGGCAAAGGTTGTAGGGTGCTAGTGGTAAGAGGTATTGTAGCTAGTAGCACCCACTGAATATTGAAGAGGCTAAGAAGTTCTCCTCAAATCTTGAAAGCAAACAGGCAGTGCAGGAAAATATGGGCATTAGTCTCCTCATCGGTGAAACAGAGCACACATAAATTGGGTAGAGGGATTCCTGTTCTTTGAAGCTGGTTAACTGTGAGTGCCCTCAGGGAAAGATCTAGCCACATGAAGACCTGAATTTTCGGAAGGGCAAAAGAGGACCAAGCTGGGGGCACAATAGAGGAGGGAGATAGAGGGTAAGTGGGAGGTTGGATAAGTTTTTGTTCTTGTTGATCTTACATGAGAGAAATATTACAAGTAGTAAGATATAAGGCATCCCTGGAAGCCTAAATCCTGCCAAAAATGGAGGCATCGAGGCAACTAGGGGTAAACCATGGTATGCCTGAAGCTTTGTATCTCTGGTTGCAGCAATAGACATGGGTATGGGTCAGTGAGTCTGTCACACCCCAAGTTTTATAACATTAAAATTCTTGAGATGTGACAGTTTATTCTTAAGGAACAAAACAAATTCGAAATTTTTACTATACATTGGTCCAAACAAATTTACCATTCAAAATTTTTTTGTACGAAGTCTATTTCACATATTACAATAACATGAAGATCTATATATATACAACTTTGATAGACAAAGTTACAAAGACGAATTTATCTATGAGTACAAACTTCTTTCAAACTACTCTTGGTGTACATATGAACAATACGGCTACGATTACTCTGAAAAAAATTCACAATAGCTTGATGAGTTTGGCTACTCAGTAAGTGATTATCATTATCCTTAAATATCATGGTTGGAAAGTGTAAATATTTTCTAAAAGAATGCATATTAGGCAGAATTTCGACGTATTGATTTCACGCATTCTAATACATGCTATTAAACAGATTCATTTCTTATCTTACACATATCCTGTATTCCTTATTGGACAAAGAAAATAAGCATGATACATAAACCATATGCACATGATTCATATCAAGATCATCAATAAATCTAAATTTAGTAGTTTAAAACATTACTGTAATTAAGTATCAGATATTATCAAAGAAGCATTCACAACAACAGAAGTCTTGCAGTAGAAGCACTAACCCTTGGGTCTGAGGTTAGAACTTTTACCAACCCACAGGAAGAAGCACCACCAACAGATAAATCCGTTGCGTAGTGCCTCACACACGCACACAACCCCAGCTTGCTTTGGGGCTTTTGATTAGCATTGGCCTTGCAAGACACGGCTCTCTCATGTGCCCTTCTGACGAGAGAGTGTTACACTACCAAAGGGGTCCTAATGAGTAGTGCCTCACATAAGTTTTGGGGGAGCGACCACTCAAACACACACACTCCTAACTTTCATCCTATCATAAAGTTAGGGAATATCACAGCTGCCGGCACAAATATCTCATCAGATCATAACAGAGGCATGCACCCATATCTTATCGAAAGCATGTTACCATGCACACATATCTTATAAGAAACATGTTACCATGCACACATATCTTATCAATAGCATATTACCATGCATACATATCTTATCAGAAGCATGTTACCATGCACACATATCTTATCAGAAGCATGTTACCATGCACACATATCTTATCAGAAGTATGTTACCATGCACACATATCTTATCAGAAGCATGTTATCATGCACACATATCATATCAGAAGCATGTTACTATGCACACATATCTTACTAGAAGCATGTTACCATGCACACATCTTATCAGAAGCATATTACCATGCACACATATCTTATTAGAAGCATATCTCATATGTACTCAAAAGAAATATCAACATGTCTATGCTATACATATAGTCACAAGAGACATCACTATGTCATATTATCGTGCATATAAATTCAAAAGACATAATTATGTCAATTGCAGGCCATATATCAATGTAGTAGCTATCGAGAAACAATAATATCGTATTTTCAAAATATCCTAAAAATTATTAACATGAATTCACATGAAGCAATTTATAGCAATCACTTGCACACAACACTTGCACATAACACTAACACTTACACATACCACTTGCACGTAACACTTGCACA